AGACCCTTCGCCCACTCCCCGCTTAATTAGACCCCCCGGCTCACTCCCGGCTAAATAAGACCCTTGGCCCATTTCTCGCTAAATCAGACACTCGAGGTAAGGATACGCAGTCTGTTGCACTGTCCACTTGATCACAGAGAGTCTTCGCCGTGTCTCTTTTAGGTCCTGTTCATGTTTCCCGGCCCATTTACACACTACCTGACCTTTGATTCATACTTTCTCAGAATCTTCAGTGTCGGAGGGGTCTGTCACGAAACGATCTCAGTGATTCCAGAAGTTAGTACTTGTAATAAGTTCTTCTGGTTATTGAGAGACAAGAGACTATGCCCTTAAACCAAATGTTACTTTAAACCGTATTGATTTAAACGTTTCCAGTCCTTAGTCCAGACAAAGCGACTGTTAATGTTACGCAATTACACCGGGGCTAGAGAATTTCCTTTCACACGCCAGTGTCAGAATGTTATCTCCTGACCAGACTGTAGAGACTGAGCGGGGCCCTTTTGACCAGGTAAATTGAGTGGACGCTAGACATTGTGGAGCCCAGAGGTCGGAGTTTCGCAAGTCAGTGTAATTCTTGGCAGAACAGGTGTTTGGCAATTAGGAATGTTTGATCTGGGTCAAGTAGTAAACACCCTGGCTTCACGGACCGTTTTCACACCGCCTAGTTAGATTCGGTGTAAACTAGATTGGGTCACTTAAGAATGTTCGCTCTAGGGACGTCAGTCCAGAATTGACTGACAGGCCACTTGTTAGCTAATTTGATCTGAGAAGTACTCCGGAGGCGGGGCTTAAGTAATCGTCTTGAGGGTTGGTCAGAACCGAGGAAAGGGAGGAGTTTAATTTGGACAATAGATTGATACTTATACTTCGAGCCTGTGGAATTCCCGTCATTAATCGCAGCCTGCCAGCAAACAAACACAGATCGACCTAAAAGGTAAATTTTACGGTCGTATTCTGTTTTGGCGATTGATGGGAATTTCCCAGGTAAGAGAAAATATTAATTTTAATCTTGTATACTTAGGTTAGGGAGTTAAGCTTAGTCTATACTACCTTTTCCTAATTTGTCTGCACATTCTGCTTAAAATAGTTCTTTGTGAGTATTCAGTATCTCAAGTTAGGGAACTGCTAAACTATTCCTATTTCTTGTATGTTTGTGTCACCTGTTTTTTAGTTTATGTTTTCATGTGTATAAAATAAGATGTGAACAATGACATTTGCTATAATGAAATGTAATTATATTGTTTCCACCATCTACCAAAATATGAGTTTGGACTGTGGGAAATGATGCCCAAATATGTGCAGGGATGCTGCTACGTTTTGTGTGCCCACCATGTGCTCACTTAATGTGTTCACCTAAACAGGGGATTTATAACCCCAGGGGAAGAATGATGGGTGTACAGTTTTTACTGTCACTGAAAGATAATATTCAGGACAGCGTGCACATATAAATTGTTTGAGTTTTCAGCACATAACCTGCTCCACGTGGTCATGTAATATCAATGTCAGCCAGTTGGAAGTCTGAATGATGACGGACAACAGACTTAGAAAGTCAACTATCATGACATAGCATGAGAGAGGAAGGCAGGATATGTGACGCCCATGTAAGACAAAAGACCTTCAGACTAGACTGGAGAGGATGTGGAATATGAGGAGGAGTGATGGGATATATTTTATTATTATATGTTACAATAATTGATACATGTATTCTTAGTGTAAGTCAAGATACTACACGTATGTGTTTCGTTTCCATGATTACAGCGCCCATGTGACGATCAGTCCATGAAGTAGCCTACATTGTGTTAGACTCGGCCAGCTGGGAACGAGGTGGAGAACGAGGTGGGGAACGAGGTGGGGATGAAGTGGAGAATAAGCTGAAACAGGCAGACAACAGGCAAGGAAGAGTTGGACAAGCTTGACAGTTCCTCACGGCTGTCAGAGGCTTATAAGTTGAGTTAACCCCTTTATGTTAACCTATTTTCATCATTATCATACCACTCTAAACCCCGAGCTGTTTTTCTCGCTGAAGCTTACCACTATCATCAAATTAACCAGTCACTGTTTGTGTAAATCAACAAACTGGGAATATCATTGTTAGTAAATAAAGCTGTATGTCAAGTTTTATCCTGCATCAGTTTTTGTAATTCCAAATGTCTGTTCTTACATGTTTAATTAAACTGTTAGGATAGAATAACATTTGGTGGGGGCTCAAATAATATAATAATTCTTTAATTATTAATAATAACACCAGGAGAAGGTAGATGAAGGAGGAATCATTTGCCCTGTCTAATAATTCATTAAGTAAAATGCTATAGACATCTAAAATTCCTTGCCTTCTCTTGTGGGTACCAAGTTCATCTAATGTTAATGTACTTAACGAGCCAATATGGCTGGTTTCTTGGGTATCCAGGACTTTGTCTGAGAGCAACATAGCTCAGATTTTAGTTCGGTTAATCTGGTGGAGGAAATGTGTTGAGAGGAACATCCCTAATCAACAGTTAAACAATTAATCCACCCGTGCACGTCACAGGGTCTCACGTTGTCTTTTCTCCAATTACATCAGCGCCGATTTCGAGTGTTCTATACTACACGACGACACAGCTTTTAATAACCCCAGAAAATCTAGAACTTTCCCTACCCACAGCCTCAACCTAGGTGACACGAGAATAAAACAGTAACACGTGACACCTCTCTGACCTAGATCCGACTGCGAAAGTGTGTAGTTGGGCTGGGAACCGTGAACAGGTCCCTCTTTTATCACAAAGTAACTCACCACCCGGATGAGCACCAGTGGTCATACTATCACTCTTCTTATTAACTATAACACCAGAATGTGATATGCTTCTGATCATTATCATATCAAGTTATGCTGGACTTAACACACAGAATACTAGCCCTATTTCCCGCAGCGTGAAAACATAACCATCACAGTGGAAAGCTAGTGCATAACAGTCGAGTAATTCGAGTAACCAAAATAGGACATGAATGAATGGATCAATGATTAAATTTAGATAAGTTTACATTCCGACGCCTGTCCCGTCTCCTTCTGTAGTAACCAATAAAGAATCGATATATCGTTAGTACAAGTTGCAACCCTATTAAAAGTCTTGCATAGTTCTCACTCGTGTTGAATATCTTCCACAAGTTTTACACATCAACGTTTAATTAGTCCTTCAGGGAATGGATTCTCTCTCTGTTCTACTGCACTGTCCATTCGATCCCATTAAACTTTCACTTCTTCCTCTTTATCATAAAGTAGCTCACCGTCCAGAGGAGCGGCAGCTGCTAATCTATCATCATATCGTTACCTCGTACACGTGAATATCCTAGACACAAATGACATGAGATGTTACTGATCCAAGTCTTATCACGTGATGCAAGCCACTCTGTGCGTACGACGCTTTTCAGTTGTCGGAAGCATTCTCTGTGAGTTTATTTCAACTTCATGTCTAGATGTGCTGCCTTCAAATCACCGGAGAGCTGCTGTTACTATTACCACATTCAGCCTCAACTGGAGGTAGTGACGTTGTACGCCAAACTCTTAGTGTCCATTCACTTTTGCGTCCCCCCCCCCCCCCCCCGAAAAAAAAACACTAACTATTTTGACCTCTCACTACAGACCCATCTCTATACGACACAGTTCACTCCATACCCCATCTCTTGAAACTCAGTCTGACTTGTTGATTGTTTGTTCATTGTCCAGGCCAGGTTTCTGAATCATACAGTAAAGTATACATAACTTCCGGCAATTCTTCATTTTAAATTTGTGTGCAGTTTCTGTATGTTCCAATAATTGTCCCATGTCGTGGAAAATATTTTTTTGCCATTCCTTTTTTCTTTCTGACTTCTGTTTCATTCCTGCCAATAAATGTTAGTAAACATCTCTTTTCCCGTCCAGCTTATTCAGAACCATCTGAATGTTTTTTTTTTTCCATGAAATAACACCTTTTCTTTAGAGTATCATGATATACTTATTATTACCTTTTCCTTTTCGTTGCCCAGTTTTCGCATCACTGAGTAGACAGACCAATTATAATAACATGTGATAATTCTCTGTTTTAATCTCAACAAAAAGGAAAGCAGATATAAGGCCAGCCTTAACCTACACTAACAATTCTCTTTATGTCTAGTGGCACATGAGGCTTCAGAGTGGACTTTCCATGCTTTCTACTCCTGTGCAATCTTCAGTGCAGTTTTCCATGTCAGGCCACTTTCCATCGTTCGTCTCCAAGTTGTTTTTGGGCACCCTTTTTTCTCTCTTTCCCTCTGGTGTCCAAGTGAGAGCTGTTTTGGTAGGTAAATCAGGATTCATTCTCATAACTTGGCCAAGCCAAATCCATCTTCTTTTGGTTTTCATACTGTCCATAGTTTCTTGGTTTGTAACTTGAGCATCGGCTACTGGATCGCCCATTGGCTGGCCAGTACACGGCCTCGTCTTCGGTCGGGACAGTAATTGGGTCTGTGTCTGATCGTTGGCTCTGTGGCTGAGTCTATGCGAACGCTTCGTAATGCCGTGATGCCGGGTTGAATCCCAGCTGCGGGCCATGCGCTTTGCGTTGGTTTCGACAGTGATATAAAGAAAGCCAACAGTCCAGAAAGCAATGGCAAACTACTGGACGAAAATTTGCCTAGAAAAACCACACTGTTGGGGTTAGTTCTGCAACTTCCTGTATCAACACTGCAGGAGTTCTTTCAAGGCTACTTGCTGGCGAGCGATGTTGAGCGAATTTTTAATAGCGAACATCAACTATTCACAACTATGACCAAAAGTTCGCCGTTGGAGAAATGCTGGTTAAACGTGGTGTGGAGTGGAGTGTGTGTGGCATGGTGTGGTGTGGTGTGTATGTGTGTGTGTGTGTGTGTACGTGCGTGCGTGCGTACGTGCGCGCGATCAAAATCGGATTGAATCAGACTTGAAGTAGTTTAGTGTTCACTTAAATATAAACAAAATATTTTCAAAACAACACAACAAATAAAGCACCTGGTCAGAAAGGCAAGCCATACTAACACACTGTCCCTTCTACTGGCTCGACAGGCATGAAAGCAAACCTGACAACGTTGAAGTAGTCTCCGCTGGACTGCAGCCTGAGAGCTGAACTCAAACACCGAAGTTGGATCAACCTGTGGGCTAAAAGTAAAATAACATAGCTCAGTGATTGTCCATATATACATTGAAGTACTTTAAAAACGAAACAATATAATATACTACTATTTAAAAAACAACGCATAGTTTCTCTATGACGCTTTACTAATCTAAAGACATTGATACAGAAAGGAAAATAATGGTAAATCATCATCAAAATCCTCTCGTAACACTAGGTGTCGTTGGGTCACAAGTTTCTGTTGATTGATCAGCTCTGTCCACTTTTGGCGGTCAGTTGCGATGGACTTCATGGTTGAATGCTTGAGGCCTGTCCAGTCAGGTTCAGTAACCACGTATTTCTTGGTCTGCCTCTTCTCTTCTTTGCCTCGACTGAGCCCTGCAGTGTTGTTTTTGAGAGGCCGTTAGATCTTATTACATGTCCATTCCATTGCAATGTTAAATCATTCTTCTTCCTATTTCCCCCCTTCTCCTGGAATGCGTCTGGGCGGGAAGAAATCTTTGCCATGGGCCCTTCTGTTCGTTTCGTTTCAAACATTTCTCAGTGTCTCTGACAGTTTTGTTGTCCATATTTTGTGTGGTCGACCTCTGGGCCTGTTTCTGCTGTATCTGTATAACATTGCTCTCTGTGGTGCTCTGTCTGCTGGCAATCTTATTACATGGCCAAACCATTTGATTTGTTCTACCTATAAAGTTCAGTATTTGTGTGTACCGACTCTCCTCCTGATATCATCGTTCCTAGGTCGATCGCTCCTTGTTACATCTATAATAGTACATAAACATTTCATATCTGATGTTAAAACATGTGGAAAAACAAATTGTACAACATATTTTTGTGTTTGCATTAATTAAAGTCACTACGGGAAAACACCGCTTTGAACTTATTTTTTTTCTTCATAATTTTGTCATTCAATATCTTTGTAATTTAATGAGTGAAACTGTTCATGCTGAAGACAAGAATACCATGAGTGTTGAGCTGAATTGATTCAAGAACCGACACAAAAGCAGCTGGGGCATTCCCATAAGCACTCTGTCCCTATCTTCAGCAGCCAGCGCAGAGTTTCAATACCAATAGTGCCAGTAGCATTCTGATTAAATGTTCGTCTAGCCTTTCCTCTGAGTGTCGATCATTGGCCAGAACCCCTCGTCATTCTCCGCTGCATCACTTTCACCAGACTGTGGTGATCCATTTGCTAATCCGAATTGTCCAGGCTCTCCAACACGGCCCTAACCACGTCTACCTTATCATGCATCAGTATTCCACCTAGTTGTGCAGAGCCAGCCAGTCTATCCGCTTGTTCATTCCCCCCTGAGAAAACATCAAGACAAAACTCCTCACCCGTGTCCTCTGCAGCATAGCATGTCACTTTGCACGAAGCATGCCAGTCCTGACCTTCGTCGGCAAGATATATGCGTGTGTCGTATGTTCTCTAGCCAGCTAAAAGCTGCAGTGACCGCCTCCACCTCCATTCTCAAGCTAGATGTTGTGGTATCATATGCTAGGTTCTCCTGCACCGAACGTCAACCATTAACTTTTACTAAAAAGGCCCAAGAACTTCTTTTGCCTCTTGACACTGAGCCATCTGTATAAATAACCAAATCATCTGAGCAAGCATTAGTTTAAATAAATTGCTGAATTTCCACCTCCATGGCAACTGCTTGTCACTTCTTGCACTCGCGGCTCAGTCTGATTATGACCCAAATGTGACTGATCCGCAGGCACTCTGATCCATTCGTCTCCTCGCCTAATGTTCTTCAGGATGCAAACCTGTCTGTGTCTTCTGCCTACGCCATCCATAGCTTCCCTCTTATCAGCCGTGGAGCCTTAACTGTATCCAGAGGGTGACCTGTGTCTGCAGCTACCCTGAGATATGACTTCGCCCGCAGCACCTTGAGCCTACCTGCATCAGTCGGCAAACAAAGGATGTATCGCATAAACACCAATGGGGTGTCTCTGTTACAACCCAGAATGACCCGCATATCTGCGCATTGTATGCGCTCTAGTTTAACCATATGAGAAAGTAAGCAGCCCTGCTGCATAATTACTGAAAGGATCGGGTGCTGATCTTTCTGACTCTTTTGTCGTCTCACTGATACCAGATTGTAATCCAGTGTCGTGGCTTTCTGTATTTGCCTTGAGCTTCTTGGATAGCTTGAGTGATGGATTTGTTCATCTTTTTGGCAGATTTCTGCTACAACATTCATCCATCTCTTTCTTGGTCTTCCTCTCGCCTTTGTCCCAGATGTTCTGGTGTAAAAAGTCTCATATGCAGTCTGGTCTGGTTGCATTCTCACAAGATGGCCGAACCATTTCATTGATTCCCTGTTAATATAATCCAGACATGGAGACTCACTTCCCCGCACTCACACACACACACACACACACACACACACACACACACCTATATACACTCACTTCACCCCGCTCTCACACACACAGTTACATACAAAAACTCACTCACTTCACCGCGCTCACCCACACACACACACACACACACACACACAGCTATATACAAACACTAAATTCACTGCGCTCTCAATCACGCAAAGCTAATATACAAACACACGCAGCTAAAATACAAACACACAGCTAACATACAAACACACAGCTAAAAAACACAGCTAACACACACAGCTAACATACAAACACACACAGCTAACATACAAACACACACAACTAACATACAAACACACACAGCTAACATACAAACACACATAGCTAACATACAAACACACACAGCTAACATACAAACACACACAGCTAACATTCAGTGACTTACCGGCCGTTTGCCTGAGACCACAGAATCCTAGAACCAGCTTCATACTGGACAAACCCACGCCCCTTCCCTGGTACAGCTGCACGCTATCTTCACCGTGGTCTTTTTGGCACTATTTAACAAAAGAAATATAGTGTATTAGTTGATATATTTTTTTGGATAATATCCTGTTCAATTCTTCTTGGTTATATTAAAACATAAATAGCTTGTTTCAAGAATGGAAAAATAGCTGGGTTTGCAGTGAGGTTTAAAAACAAATATTTTATTAAAGCGTTTTTTTTTTTTTTTTTTTAAACATTCAAGAATTCAAAACAATCACTTGTGTATCCTTTACAGGTCAAGAAGGGACAAAGTTCGTAATCAGACAGTTGATCAAGATCTTGAAACCCAGGTCTTGCAAAACTTGAGTGGATAAGTCACAGTTACGATGATGTGCACATGTACTCAGAATGGGAGAAAATCGGCCGCTATGACAAGTAGGGCAAACTAAGAACCAGGGAACCAGACCTCCAGGGGACTCAGGGTCCGATGGAAAGGCAACACCCAAAAGTCCTTAACTGACAGAGGATTGGAATCAAACAACGCCAGAAAAAAAAAAAAAACTGCTGATAGAAAACCTCTACACCCCAAGGTAGATAGAAGAGGAGCGACTGGCGATCTCTCTGGCAAACCTCTAAACCCCAAGGTAGATAGAAGAGGAGCGACTGGCTATCTCTCTGGCAAACCTCTACACCCCAAGGTAGATAGAAGAGGAGCGACTGGCGATCTCTCTGGCAAACCTCTACACCCCAAGGTAGATAGAAGAGGAGCGACTGGCGATCTCTCTGGGAAACCTCTACACCCCAAGGTAAATAGAAGAGAAGCGACTGGCGATCTCTATGGCAAACTTCTACTAACTGTTACCATGAAAAGCTGGTTATATTGTCTCCTATCTCGGCCTCGAGGACGGCATAGACGTGCTTCACCATGATTTACTCCTATGTCACATAATCGTGTTAGTGTCAGGGATTCTTCATTATCCACTAGCCCAGTCCGTACAGCGTTGACGATATCTACTCTGTCCCTGCTTTTTGCCGCAATCCTTAGTGCAGTGCTTGTCAGCTGGTCCGCTCACTCATTTCCCTCTACGCCCGTATCACCTAGTGTGTAGATCCAGGTGAGGGAGGTTAAGTGCTTTCTACCCATTCAGAGCGGATACAGCCTATTTCAATCGTCTGAAGTATATTAATTGAGTCTGAGACAATAACTACCTGTGTGGCGGTTTGCTCGGATACCCATGCTAAAGCTCTAGAAGCAGCGGCTATTTCCATGGTCATGCTTGACGGGGTTGTCTGGTAAGCGCTGCTGTCCTCCTGTATTGTTCTCCCCCATATTTGCGCTTTGTAGGCCTATGCTGACCTTGATTCGCGCTTTACGGATCCATCTGTGTAGATGATGATATCTTCTGGGTCTGAATGCTGATCTATCAGCAAGAATTTGATCCCTGCAGTACCTTCCGAGTGTGATGACAACCTTAGAGATTCCATGCATGTCTACTGGTGTATTCGTCCTTTCTTTTCCGTGACTGATCACGTCTAGGTCACATACCTGCTAGATTAAATTCTCAGCCTTTGCCACCCATGAGCGGCCTCTTTTGAGACGCGTTCCTTTCATGTCGTGTATAGCGTTGTACAGTGGGTGGTTAACGTCTGCTGATACCCTCATTTACGCCTTGACCTGTGCCACTTTGTATTTGCTAGTCCTCGTCGGCAAACCAAGGACATAACGCATGGCGTTGCAGGAGGTGTCTTTTCTGCAGCCGAGTATGAGTCGCATGGCCTCATTTTGTACTCGGT